ACATACACACACACAGACAGGGTCGTCCCAATATGCGTTTTTGCAATTTGCATATAGGCAAAACGCGTAAAAACCGTGTATGCAGATTAACTAATGCTCATTTACATATTTGGGTGAGGGCGGTCGTTTGCTGCATAACGCACTCATTTCTGATTTTTCGGTAAAGTTGAGTATTTCTCATGCCTACCTGCAGGAAATTCTACCTTCAAGTGGAATTAAGACTGTACTTGAAAGTAGAATATTCTAGCGAACTTCCAGCCACGCAGCTTATCCGGTAAGCGGAATACCCACTTCGCTACAAATATTTTTGAAGTGCTCTAGGTCGTGACGCAAGTGCAATTCGATGCTTATTTTAGGCATACGGTTTTCTACAGGCGGCAAACACGCTGATAAAATTTCAGCCACTATTTTCTGGCAAGTTTTCGAGTGAGCACAGTATCCAAGTTGCAATTTTGACGTAATTGTACGCGCCTCACAAGCGTGCTCGATGGCTGAGTCTAAAATTTTTAGCTCGCACATGCACAGAGAATATCCCTGCAAAGTTTCAGCTTTCTAACTTACCTGCTTCGCGAAATCTTTTCCCGCCAAAGAAATTTGCATATTTTTTGGGGGTCCCGTACAAAGGGTCTAGGCGGGTGTAGGAAAAATATCTTGAAACGGGAGGGTGACACACGGGGTTGGAACATACACCCAAAGTTTCAGCCTCCCAGCTTTCCTGGTCGCTGAAATGAAAGTGGGTGACAAAATGCACTCGCTTCTGAACACACACAAACAAGACAGCCTCTCGACAATATGCGTTTTTGATGGCTGTAGCAGCGCTACAGCGTTTTTGCTGGTTGTAGCTCTGCTACAGCCAGCAAAAACGCTGCACACCAAAAACGCATAAAAAACTGGCAATGAACATAATAAAGTCTGGAAATTCCGTGCAAAAATTTCGCTACTCTTTAAGTGATATCCTCACAGATGGATTTGGCAAAAAAAAAAAATGATTCAGAAAAAATAAAGTACATTTCCTTACCTTACCGTTCGCGTCCTTTTCGACTTTGCCATAAAAATTAACAGGCAGCATGTATTCAGGGCGTGATTTTTCCCACGGATTACCAAATCGAAGCCAATCATCCGGCTCTTCAACCTGCACTCACACATATTTTATTTCTCCAGGAACTAATTCACGTGCCAGTGTTTTGTTGCTGGCATCTCTCTTTTAGCATAATAAACATACTTGCCATCCGTCTTTGACAAGCTGCTTGAAAATACCATACTCATAACGTAATCCATATCCATAAGCAGCGATACCCAGAGTTGCCATCGAATCCAAAAAACAAGCCGCAAGTCGCCCAAGCCCACCATTTCCAAGCCCAGCGTCTTCCTCAATTTCTTGCAACTCTTCGATATCAAGACCAAGCTGAAACCTAACAATTAAGGCTTATGCCTCGAAGTCATCTGGAAATACAACTTCTCTGTAAGCCAATTTTAACAACGTGCACCAAATACAGAAGGCATGGTCAAAATTATGCTTCCTTGCCCCCCTTTCCCACCATCTGCCCCTCCCTTCCATAACCTTTGTTGGAAACATTTTAAAAAGCATGCCTGATATAATGCTTCATCGACAGCAGCCTGCACGCCAATGTTCATCATCGTATTGGATAATGTTCGACCCATGTAAAACTCCAGCGACAGGTAATAAACACGCTTAAACATCTGATCGTACAAGCGCATTTTCATGCACTCTTGAAGTCAGGATCTGTCAAAGATCATAACACACCAGTTTTTGGATCCCAAACTTATCGGCTTAAGACTCAAATAAATTCTGACCAAAAAAATCTCCCTGTTCTGCTTGGTCCCATCCGGAAAAAAATCGGCCAGTTTTTATGCGTTTTTTGCAGCAATGCAATGCGAAAAACGCATATTGACGAGAGGTTGTCT